TTCATATGTCACTGCACTGAACATACTTCATGTCACTGCACTGAACATAACACTTCATATGTCACTGCACTGAACATAATACTTCATGTCACTGCACTGAACGTAACACTTCATATGTCACCGCACTGAACATAATACTTCTTGTCACTGCACTGAACATAACACTTCATATGTCACTGCACTGAACATAACACTTCATATGTCACTGCAGTGAACATAACACTTCATATGTCACCGCACTGAACATAATACTTCATGTCATTGCACGGAACATAACACTTCATATGTCACTGTACTGAACATAACACTTCATATGTCACTGCACTGAACATAACACTTCATATGTCACTGCACTGAACATAACACTTCATGTCACTGCACTGAACATAACACTTCATATGTCACCGCACAGAACATAACACTTCATATGTCACTGCAGTAAACCTAACACTTCATGTCACTGCACTGAACATAATAGTTCATGTCACTGCACTGAACATAACACTTCATATGTCACTGCACTGAACATAATACTTCATGTCACTGCACGGAACATAACACTTCATATGTCACTGCACTGAACATAAGACTTCATATGTCACTGCACTGAACATAATACTTCATATGTCACCGCACTGAACATAACACTTCATATGTCACTGCACTAAACATAACACTTCATATGTCACTGCACTGAACATAACACTTCATATGTCACTGCAGTAAACATAACACTTCATATGTCACTGCACTGAACATAACACTTCATATGTCACTGCAGTGAACATTACACTTCATATGTCACTGCACTGAACATAACACTTCATATGTCACTGCACTGAACATAATACTTCATATGTCACTGCACTGAGCATAATACTTCATGTCACTGCACTGAACATAACACTTCATATGTCACTGAACTGAACATAATACTTCATGTCACTGCATTGAACATAACACTTCATATGTCACCGCACTGAACATAACACTTCATGTCACTGCACGGAACATAACACTTCATATGTCACTGCACTGAACATAACACTTCATATGTCACTGCACTAAACATAACACTTCATATGTCACTGCACTGAACATAACACTTCATATGTCACTGCACTGAACATAATACTTCATATGTCACTGCAGTAAACATAACACTTCATATGTCACCGCACTGAACATTACACTTCATATGTCACTGCACTGAACATAATACTTCATATGTCACTGCACTGAACATAACACTTCATATGTCACTGCACTGAACATAATACTTCATATGTCACCGCACTGAACATAATACTTCATGTCACTGCACGGAACATTACACTTCATATGTCATTGCACGGAACATAACACTTCATATGTCACTGCACTGAACATAACACTTCATATGTCACCGCACTGAACAAAACACTTCATATGTCACCGCACTGAACATAACACTTCATATGTCACTGCACTGAACATAACACTTCATATGTCACTGCACTGAACATAATACTTCATGTCACTGCACTGAACATAACACTTCATATGTCACCGCACTGAACATAACACTTCATATGTCACTGCACTGAACATAACACTTCATATGTCACTGCACTGAACATAATACTTCATATGTCACCGCACTGAACATAATACTTCATATGTCACTGCACTGAACATAACACTTCATATGTCACCGCACTGAACATAATACTTCATATGTCACCGCACTGAAAATAACACTTCATATGTCACTGCACTGAACATAATACTTCATATGTCACCGCACTGAACATAATACTTCATGTCACTGCACGGAACATTACACTTCATATGTCATTGCACTGAACATAACACTTCATATGTCACTGCACTGAACAAAACACTTCATATTTCACCGCACTGAACATAACACTTCATATGTCACTGCACTGAACATAATACTTCATGTCACTGCACTGAACATAACACTTCATATGTCACCGCACTGAACATAACACTTCATATGTCACTGCAGTGAACATAACACTTCATATGTCACTGTACTGAACATAACACTTGATATGTCACTGTACTGAACATAACACTTCATGTCACTGCACTGAACATAACACTTCATATGTCACTGCACTGAACATAACACTTCATATGTCACTGCACTGAACATAACACTTCATATGTCACTGCAGTAAACATAACACTTGATATGTCACCGCACTGAACAGAACACTTCATATGTCACTGCAGTGAACATAACACTTCATATGTCACTGCACGGAACATAACACTTCATATGTCACTGCACTGAACATAACACTTCATATGTCACTGCACTGAACATAACACTTCATATGTCATCGGACTGAACATAATACTTCATATGTCATTGCACTGAACATAATACTTCATGTCACTGCACGGAACATAACACTTCATATGTCACTGCACTGAACATAGCACTTCATATGTCACTGCACTGAACATAACACTTCATATGTCACCGCACTGAACATAATACTTCATATGTCACTGCACTAAACATAACACTTCATATGTCACTGCACTGAACATAACACTTCATATGTCACTGCAGTGAACATAACACTTCATATGTCACTGCACTAAACATAACACCTCCCGTGCTACCTCCCGTCAATTATCTTCCTTTCTCGTAAGTGTCTGGGCAGTAAACGAACTGTTGACTTCCTTTTTACGTTAGCTCCACAATGACAGGGCCAAGTAATGACAGATGGTCATGTATGGATTGTTATTGCTTCTTGCCGTTTGTAATTCTCTTGAAATTGTTTCGAGAAACTGTACATTTCTCATTTTACTCGTCAATCGAGACTGTTCATTTCATACAGCGGTTTCGTAGATTTCATAAAAAAACCCTTAAAGTTGATTTTGTATATCATCATATCTAAATGCGTGATAAAGCAATATCGTGGCCCTATATATTTTATGTTAATATTGTTTATATGTTTAAAGTCGCAAATACAAAGGGAATTGAACGTCCCTGGGTGTTAGGTAGGGAGAATTTCCGTTTCACGGTTTTAGATTTGAAATAAAATAATTTAATTCTCCGGAAGTTAAAGACATAAAGATATAATACATGGGATATTTCAAGTGTCGAGTGGAATATCATGTTTCTCTACTTATCAGATTTCGCTGCCACGGGCCTAAACAGTGCCAGGAAGTCACAAAGTTATTAACTGTCGCAGCAAGATTATTTTACCATCTAAGGTGCTCAGCTTTACACTGTTACGTCTTCAGTGGTACATTGATGCATTGTCAGTGCTGCGACAGTTCCTTACTTTGTGACTTCCTGGCACTGTTTAGCCCCGTGGCAGCAAAATCTGATAAGTATACTGTAAAACAAAAGCTCCTGTGACTTTGAATAAGATTTAATGCAAAGTTAAGTTTTTTACCAAATATGAAACAATTTCGGTTTTCAACAGATAAAAGACTCGTGTAAGTGTTCAAATGGTTTAATTTGCCATACTGACTTCAGAAAATGCGTGATTTCATAAAAAAAACATGAACATGCCATAATGTCAATTTACAAATCAATAGCGTATGTGTGCACTGGTTGCGATGCAAGCAACACATCTTCGTCTCATGGAATGGACCGGGCGTCGCACAAAGTCCTATGGGATATCTGTCCATATCCGCTGGAGCATGTTTCGAAGTTCCTGGAGTGTCTGTGGAACACGTGGTTGACGTCGATCCATCTCATCCCACGTGTGCTTGATTGGTGAGAGATCAGGGGAGCAAGCCGGCCAGGGGATGACATTCACGTTGTTTTGTTTAAGAGAATCCCGAACAAGTCGAGCAATATGAGGCCGGGCGTTGTCATGTTGAAAGGTAATGCCTGGGCCATGACGACGCAAAAACGGTAGAAAAACAGGGCCGATGATCTCGTCGCGGTAGCGCTGTCCATTGAGATTTCCCTCTACTACTATCAAACGGGTCCTCTGTCTTGCTGTAATCCCACCCCATACCATAACGCCATCTTCCATGACACAATGATTGACGTACGTTCACCTCGACGTTGGTACACTCGAATCCGTCCATCGCTGTGGCTGACGTGAAAACGAGACTCGTCAATGAATAGAACTTGTCCCCACTGCATGGCCGTCCAGCGGAGACGCTGTCTGCACCACTCGAGACGTGCTTGACAGTGGTTTCCTGTCAAAATGGGACGTCTGGCTGGTCTTCTGGCGACAATCCCTGCACATCTGAGGCGGCGACGTACGGTTTGTGAAGATATTCGTCGAAAGCCAGGGATGCTTCTTGCAGTCACTGTTGCTGGCTGGAATCGATTTCGCAGGTGTGTTGTTCGAATCCAGTTGTCTTGTCGATTATTGGTTACGCGTGGCCTGCCACTCCGAGGATGGTCTCTGGCTGTATTCGTCTGTTGCCAACCTTGCCATAAACACCAAATGGTGTTTCTGTGGACGTTAAATTGTCTTGCAACATCACGTTGACTCGATCCTGTTTCAAGCATACCAATGGCTCGCAGACGCTCATTTTCGGACAGGCGTGGCATTTCGTAATGTTGAATAATTGCGTAATTTTGTTGTTTTTCTGAGTGGTTGTTGTCAGCACGATGCTAAACAATGCATAAGGAATCCCGTTAACGCACATGTTTTTATACCCCTTCTTGGGTAGTGAAATGCATGGGGCTTGCATAAAAGTCAACTTTTGCATGGAACGCATGCTTTTCTGTAGCAGTTGCGTTTTTGTGACTTGATTCCATACATGTACTACAATATTGAAAACCAAACTTTACTTGCTTGAAAATACACTGAAATATTGGTGTCACAGGAACTTTTGTTGTTGAGTATAGAAAGCCACCTATCAGCAGAACATATGCCGTGTTTGAAATATCACAGGCACATTGGAAGCTTCCACCTGGGAATGTTCAGTCGCACTGTGATCCCTACATGGGACTAAGCGTGTTGTTGTGCTAATAGATGTGGGTATGCTCGTTTACATTTCAGAGCCTCATTAAAGTACTGCTGCAAGATGTCTCTCGAAAGCGAGCTGACCTGCTCGATATGTCTGCATATATACCAGGACCCAGTCGTGCTGCCATGCATGCACTCGTACTGCAGGGAGTGTCTCAAAGATTTACATTCCAAGTCCAATGAAGCCGAGGATTTGCGCGGTTCGTTATGAAGAAATATTTTCAGATTGTGTTGGATAGCTTCAATATGTTAAGCTTTTCGTGTTAGATACATTAACCACTATGATAAAAATAATGTTCCCATAACTTTCGGTGGTATATATAATTTGATTAAAGGTTGTCCTGGTAATTACGGAGATCATGATACGATTATTTTGGGATGACATGAAATTGACCACGTCATGAGTGGATGTTTCAGTCATTGCTCCCAAATAATACATTCACTTCCTCACTAATGTTCCTGCAATTTTTGTAAAATTGTTCTTAGGGATCAATCAAGTTTATGGGGGTATGTTCTTTATTTTTACATTAAGGACACATACTATGCTTCGGTGATCATTAACGTTTAGGGGGATGTGTGGCTCCCTGCTCAAGAACACCTCCATATACTTGAAGCCCCTAGCTGATTAGATAATGACCCTTTGTCTATCAACACAACACTGAGGTTCATTTTTTTTTAACAAACTTGTTTTATCTTTCGTCCTCCTGAATTAAGGACACACACTGTACAAAATGTAAAATTCTATTGAAAAAGGCCATAGTGAGTGAGTGAATATAGCACTATTCCAGCAATATCACGGCGGGGGACACCAGAAATGGGCTTCACACATTGTACCCATGTCGGGATCGAACCCGGGTCTTCGGCGTGACGAGCGAACGCTTTAACCACCAGGCTACCCGACCGCCCCGAAAAAGGCCATAACACTGGCCACTTAACCTTGTACCAAAGCAAACACTAGATCCACAAACTTGTTCATTGCATGATTCTATACTTGGCTATACACGATACCATTGTCACTGGTGATTAAACAAAGCTACTTCCTTTTTTCCAAGGTACCCCTTCAAAGACAAGTAACACGCTGTCATGCCCGAACTGTAGAGAAATAACAAGCTTTGGTCTGGAAGGTGTTGGTGGCCTTCCCAAGAACTTCACCCTTGCGAGTGTTTGTGAATCGTTCAAAGAAACTTCACGCCAGTCCCCCACAGGTGGATATGAACCCCCAAAACAAACACATTCGGGGCAAAGGAGCCTGTACTGCTTGGCATGTCAAGTCATCGTGAAGAGTGGAGATGTACTGTCGACACACCGCTATCACGTCACAGAGGACCTAGAAACAGCAGCTAAAAAACAGCAGGTGACAACAACTGATCACATGTTTAATATTTGGTATAAAAAATGTCAGATAATTATGATTGCATGATTTCTATTCACCCACTCTCCGTTGTCAGTGTTGCATAATGTCACGTGGGCTGTGCACATTTACCCGGTCATTTGGCTGTTCAGGGGTCAAGGTCACAGGTGTGCTCATGAACTTCTTTAATTTATGTGTATGTATGATGGTTTCTATTTCTAACCTTCACGTGACGAAAACGGCTCTTCAAATACGTGTGTATCAGCAAATCCAAACATAGCGGTGTAATGGCAGACTGAATAGACGCCACCTGAACATGGACGGTAGACATATCACTTGATTTACAAAAAGAAAAGATTATATCTGTAGCATTGACAAAACGCGGCCTTCCTATTTAAGTAGACGTTAAGCTCTTTGCCGTTTATCAACTTTTGACTACCTACAGAGCTACATCTACTTGATCACTTAACTTACATCAGGTGTTAAATTTTAAATATGAAGTGGGATCGATGTCATGGTGGTATATTAACATTCTGTCATTTCTTTCAACCATCCTTCAGACTAAACTGTCCACCTGCGTGCAGGAACTTGAAAGAAATCGCAAGAAGGAGGATGCTAAACTCAAAACAGCATCAGATGCTCATTGTAAAAGACAGGTACTGCCTTATATAGAATACTTAAAATAGCCATACTGTTCTTCCGAAACGTCTTAATTACACGTGTAAGAAAATGTAGTCTGACTTTAAACGATTAAGATTAACACCACCCAATTAAATTGGCATATGGTGTAACACTGTCAATTAAAATTCGTGTCAGTGTATGTGTAAATTTGCCGAATATAGCTGATAACAAAGGTGGCCAAAGGAAGGTACTCTTCTTCTCATTGGCTCTAATAAGAATAATAGCACATAACCATAATGCATGTTTGAGAAACACTTCATCAATTTGATCTATGCAACAGGAACAGATGCAGAAACAAGAAAAGGAGATCAACGCATTGGCTGAATCCATAGAGGAACGTCTTCGATCACGGAAAAAAGAAGTTCTTGAAAACATAGATTCTGTGAAGGCTGACAACAAGACACAATTCGAGGTGTTCCAGAGGCACCTCCAGTCCTACATCTCCACTGTCGACAGCATCACTGCTGCTGCACATGCCTTAGATGGACAGAGCTTGGACACAGAGGAAGGACAGGCTGTGTTTGTACAGGTAGAGACAGTGACCAAACCTGTTCGGAGAATAACAACTAAACTGTCTTTTTGATTAACATCTTCAGTTACAGTTTTTTGGCGTTTAGACGTTTTCAAGTACGTTCATTTCCTCCCGCAACATCTACAATGTCGGAGGAATCATCTACCTGGCCCACTTCGTTTCCATCTAACATGTGGACAGGCATATTATATACCTAATACAAACTTATACATCCCCCATGCTTTTTAGTTGCAGTTGTTGAAATACAAAATTAAAATGTTTCTGCAGAGTAGTCTGTAGATAATCTTGGCATAAAATAGAATCATAATAATCAGAGCAATTACCCTTATATTAATTTTTATAATTTCTAATGTCTAACTTATCCTTACCGACACTGAACAAAAACACATGATTTGCAGGTGGTAGACGACGTCTTGGTACAGACACAGCAGTGAGTATGCAAATCAGCTCTATTAAAGTGTTTAATGCCAGCAAGAAATGCCAAGGTTCTTTGCAAGGCATCATTGGTACAGTTTTGATGTCTCAATTAGTTTGTTTAGAGTCTATACAGTTTTTCATACTTTTAATATGACGTGATGAATAAGGTAAACCATAGTGGCCCCATGCTGTTTGACAGCTGTCCTTGCTGTGGACATAGTTGCAAGGTCACCGCCACTGTTTCAGTTGCAGGTTGTTCTCTGAGGGCATCTTTCCATAGGTCTGGTATTTGGCTTTTCCTGAACTACTACCTTAAATTGTACCCGGTTCTTCGGCGTGACGAACAAATGCTTTAACCACGAGGATACCCCATCCGCTTATCCTGGAGCATAACTACGAAAGTGTTTCATATTTTATTATGAAACTTCGCATATATAATGAAACACATGTTGAACTGGTGCCTTTTGCTGTTTCATTGGCAACAAGTTGGACTTTAATACAGGTTGCTTTCATAACCAGGGTGTAACTTAAAAGCAGATAGTGTGTAGTGATCATATATCCATAACTTTATGAATATATTGCCCATGAAACTTTAACCCTTATTTACAGAAGTAAATAGTACAGAAATAGTCATGCTATTTTAGATTTTCTTCAAAAAGATCTACACAAGGTTGTCCGATTTTACCTAATTGAGATGTATTACACATGACAAAGGAACTTGTACAAGGCATATAGTGAATGCTGAAAAAAGCCCGAAGTGGCATCCGATCAAGCTTACCTCCCCGCAGTTGGTTTAATATTTTTTGTAGTGCTAGCAATTAGGCCATATTTGTTAACTTACAAACTTGATGCCGTACATTTTCTTCTGGGGTTACATTCCCCTTTTCACTACTATATGAACAAACATATTTCTAATGTGCCCCACGGTAGGGGATAATGTCATTTGTTTATGGAGTTTGAATCCATTGGCAACGTGGCCGTCATGGCATCCATATTGAAAAAACTGGTAATGGACATTTGGTCCCTGGGTAGCTAGTGGTGGTACTCAAACCAAATATCTTCATTGTCTTTCACACATACTGTGTAAATAGTTGGTGGTATTTTGGTTCCTTGAGGTATTGAGAATTTTTCATTTAGTTATTTGAGATGTTCCAATATTCGCAATGTAAGGTTAAACGTACAAGGATCTGTGAGGTATAGATAGTTAGAGATTTGACGTGAGTAAAATATATAATTATACGTTCATGCTTTGACCACTCACAATAAATGTTATTTGCTGCATTTGTAGACTGGCTAGAATGGATGACGTTTCCCTTGAGCATGGCGTACCCAGTGATACATATGGTGAAGTGTTTGCAGAGAATCTAAGAGTTGACTTCAGAACACTACTTGGTGCATCGGTAGCCCCTACAAACACGACCCTAACCCCTAGCAACGGGGACAAATCAACAGGTGGGTAGTAGCCATAACATGGGCATACGGACCCGTGAAGACCTGAGTGAGTGAGTGAGTTTGGTTTTACGCCGCTTTTAGCAACATTCCAGCAATATTACGGCTGGGGACACCAGAAATGGGCTTCAAACTTTGTACCCATGTCGGGATTCGAACCCGGCTTTTTCGGCGTGACGAGCGAACGCTTTTACCACTAGGCTACCCGACCGCACCCGTGAAGACCTGAGGTAGAATAGGTCTTCAGCCACCCATGCTTGTCGTAAGAGGCGACTAAAGGCATCGGGTGGTCAGGATCGCTGACTTGGTTGATGCATGTCTGTGTATCCCAATTGCGTGGATTGATACTCTTGGGGTCAATCACTGGGTTGTCTGGTCCAGACTTGATTATTTACAGATCGCCGTCATATAGCTGGAATATTTCTGAGTGTGGCGTTTAACAACAAATAAACAAAGTAAGACATGGGCATAGGATTTGATCGTTGACGTCATCCTGGGCGTCTTTACGGTTCTGTATCTATTATTCAATGCCCGTGTTCACCATCTTCCCGAAGCAAGAGAGTTAACTGACTATAAAAGTCAAGTTTCCACCCTTGCCGAACAAGGCTGGGATTATTAACGAGTCTATGCATAGTCCAATCAAAATCGCGCACCGAAATCGATATCCGGTTCGTAAACTGTTATGCAGAGTTCGGTCGATTGCAGGATTTGCAAAGCATGTGCATCGCCAACTCGTTGTCAACAGATATTTTCCAAATCTTTTCATGTTTTTAATCAATGTGCTCAAGTGATTTGATGTACTTCGCGAAATTAGAACCGTTTTATCACAAAATAGATCTTGATGGTCGATCAGATCGTCTTGACTGGGCGCCACCATTTTGTTTGAAACAAATGCATGTGATACGAGAGGTGGAATCTGATTGGTACATATGGGAGAGGCATAGAATGGACATAACTCGTAATAGCCACTGGTGGCGCTACGATCGAGCCAAGGAATTCCAGCTTAGTTCGACAAGGGTAGAAACTGGACTTTTAAAGTCAGTTAACTCTCTTGCCTCGGGAAGATGGTGTTCACTGAATCAAATATATATTTTGTATTTTGACCAAATCTTGTTCACAATTTGGTAAAGTTCACATTAATGACATTCCCTTTGAACTCTTTTCTTCTTGGTGATTTAGATCAAAGTCAAAAGGAGGAATATTGTTTCTTTTATGAAGAGAATGTTGCTACAGAAATTGAAACCGAAAGTGAACATAGTTCCAATGCAGAACACAACATCATTACAGGTTTGGTATACACACTCTTGTTTTTCTCTTGACACTGGCCCGCACATATCACAAAATAGATCTTGATGGTCGATCAGATCGTCTTGACTGGGCGCCACCATTTTGTTTGAAACAAATGCATGTGATACGAGAGGTGGAATCTGATTGGTACATATGGGAGAGGCATAGAATGGACATAACTCGTAATAGCCACTGGTGGCGCTACGATCGAGCCCAGGAATTCCAGCTTAGTTCGGCAAGGGTAGAAACTGGACTTTTAAAGTCAGTTAACTCTCTTGCCTCGGGAAGATGGTGTTCACTGAATCAAATATATATTTTGTATTTTGACCAAATCTTGTTCACAATTTGGTAAAGTTCACATTAATGACATTCCCTTTGAACTCTTTTCTTCTTGGTGATTTAGATCAAAGTCAAAAGGAGGAATATTGTTTCTTTTATGAAGAGAATGTTGCTACAGAAATTGAAACCGAAAGTGAACATAGTTCCAATGCAGAACACAACATCATCACAGGTTTGGTGTACACACTCTTGTTTTTCTCTTGACACTGGCCCGCACATATGGAGCAGGCATCGGCAATAAATGTTGTGCTTGACATTAAATTACTTAAAAATCAATGAAACTCAACGCAGAATCGTTCGACCCGTGAAGATCCGGGGTAAAATAGGTCTTCGGAAACTCATGCTTGCCGTAAAATGCGCATGTCAATGCGTGGATCCCAATTTCGTGGATCGATGCTCATGATGTCAATCACTGGATTGTCTGGGCCAGACGTGATTATTTACAGATCGCCGTCATATAGCTGGAATATTTCTGAGTCTGGCGTTTAACAACAAATAAACAAAGTAAGACATGGGCATAGGATTTGATCGTTGACGTCATCCTGGGCGTCTTTACGGTTCTGTATCTATTATTCAGTGCCCGTGTTCACTGAATCAAATATATAGTTTGTATTTTGGCCAAATCGTGTTTACAATTGTCTGGTCTGGTCTGGTCTGGTCAATCACTGGATTGTCTGGGCCAGACTAGATTATTTACAGACCGCCGTCATACAGCTGGAATGTTTCTGAGTGCGGCGTTAAACAAAAAACATTCTTTCATTTTTTTTCTAGTGATGCTAATCCAAGGAAATAACCACCAACTTACCTCATGAAGAAATGCTTATCTCAGCCTGTTAATATTTAGTTTCATAAGTGTAGGGAACAAACTATTTAACACTGCGTCATCATTGCTTGATGAGGAATGTTTTGATTTTATTCTCGGTTGATCATTTAATATTTGCTTGCATTGTATCAGGTGCACAATTTAGGTGGGATCCACAGGACTGTCATTCATCACTTGCAATATCCCAGGACTGTTTGGTGGTGACAGCTGAGAAATGGGAGGATGCGGAGATCCCAGGCGGTTGTTGTGACAATGGAGGCAACTGGGTGAACGTTTGTGGAATAGCTTCGAACATGGTCCTACAAATGACCAACATCTACTGGGAGATCCTCGTCACATTCGCTATCTTGGGTTATATGGATGACAACGACGTGATCACGGACCTCGGAATATGCAAATCGGGAAAGGAAGATGTTTATTCACCATTGAGTAAAAACTACTATTGCCTCTGTTGCAGTCTGTTCAAAGATCCAGACTCATCAAGCATTGCTATGGACTTCTGGGATGGCCCAAAGAACTCAACAAGCGACAGTGTGGTGGTCAGACGTATAAGACGCCGTAAGAGGGAGCCTCTCAAACTAGGGTTCAATGTCGACTTCCACAACAAGATGTTCAGGATCATTGACGTCAATGAGAACTCTGTTCTTCATACTTTTCAGGACATGAGGTTCACGCAGGTCACTGCAGTGGCGTCGATTGACCATGAAGACAAGGTCAGAACGTCCTTAGAATTGGAAAGTGACGTAGATGGTTTTCCTACCATACTTTTACAGTGAAACTATACTGAAAATTCTTCAGTGACGACCAGTTGCCTTAGAATCACAAAACCACAAGCATACATGGTTCACACTGAACAACAAAAGGAATACAAGACACTGATACTCAGCGACACTGGGTTAGTTCTTCATACGGTTGATAACACGAGTTTGCTTTTAGGCACTGTTGTGGAATCAGTTTCCTGCCATACTTTATAACCGAAACTTGTATCTGCACATCCGTCTGAAGTGATGACGCCGACCAGCATCGCATGGCATCATAAGAAAATACATTTATATGATATGCATCTGTCAATGTGTATCTTGAAAGGACATTGCTAAATTGAACCTTGAAATGTTGTAGTTGGGCTAAAAATAGTTTGTAATTTATCGGGTAGTATGGCGGTAAGTTTAATTTTCATGTACAGTAAGGGTTGTAAATTATATGGTTTTGCAGTGCTTCAGCAGGGCTGGTGGAAGCCGTTATCGTGTAGTCAATTAATCTATTTATTACTCACGTTTGGCAGTAAAATTCCATTGGAATTTCCTATGACGGTTACGAGGTCCACATGTCTTCCTGGCGTAGCGTGTTTCCGGATCTTTAGGTGTCGCCGAACACGCTATGTTAGGAATTATCATTTGACCAATGGGAAGTTTAGAAGATTGTATGACCCCGTGACCTATGAATATAGCTCCACGGGTATAAAAGCCTGATACGACCGAGATCAGTCGTCTGAAGTTTCGGGTATCCCGACAAGTAAGTCCACAACACCCACAACACCACAACACCCACCTACTAAGGTTTTCCTTACGACTAGTTTTAGGTGTAGGTTTATTATGTGGTAGTCAGGTGGGGGAAAATTAGTTGTAGGAAAAATATGTAGAAATAAGGACTTAGGTAAGTTGGAAAGTAAGAAATAAGTTAAAATGTAGGTTTTGTAAGGTATTTATTTAGTATAGTTATTGGAATAGTGGTGTGGGGGAGAAGTAGGTGTAGGAGAGAATAGGATAAATTAGGCAGTTAAGGATAAGGAAATTTAGGCCAACAGTAAAGGTTTAATTGTGTGTGACTGCTTTCTTTTTGTATTTTTCTGATTTATTGTTAATTTGTACATTTTGTTAAGTTTAATAAATCATCTAATTATGATTTTGTCTTAGTTTTGTTTTGGCAAAGTTGAGAACCTGACAAACCATAGAACCTCGAGAGAGTACACTGTTCATGACTGATCACAGTAGAACAAACGCAAAGTCCGAAATTATATGAACAGGGTTCGAACTTAGTACTCTCCGATTGCAATCCTGTCACTGGGCAGCCCGCCAGAGGGCGCCTATTACTTAAGAATTGACATTCACTTTGTGTGAGTTTATTGGAGTAGGAACCTTCATAGAGTGAGGACCAAACTGTATGAACGTCGGAGCTTGCGACGACGTTCATACAATGTTTGGCCCTCACTCTATGAAGGTTGTACTCCAATGAACTCACACTAAGTGAAGGTCAATTCTTATATTTTTTCTTTTGAAGTGTTACGGTACACATACCTCTTATTGCAACAATCTATCAACATTGTTTTACGTTCATACGAGTACACGGCCGACCTCTAGCGACTTCCTGTTTACATATCCATCCATATCCATCCATACAAAAGTAGTTCCATTGAAATAGGTTCAATAAATAAACAGAACTCTATTTTTGTCATTAATAAAGTTTAATACTTTAATAATTCATAAACTGCAGTTAACAAAACTTGAAGAACCACTTTTAACAAACATTGGTGAAACTGTAAATCAGTTTGGGGGCGAAATCGCGCACTTATACAGTGCAAGTACTTTGCAAATCCCGACAGTGGTCGAGACGGTATTTTTGTGTCGCCAGTTTATTGTTTACCAGCGAAGTTAAAGTTGAATTGGCAGTTGTGAAAACTACTTCTGGACATAAAGTTGCCGGATGAAGAGGCCATCTGTGACGACAGGTTTTGAAACAATGGCAAATGCTGAGCCGAATACTGGGCATCATCGCCTTCTGACGGCGGCCTTGAAACCGTCGCAGATGGCTGCCGATTGGCGGCTTCCTCAAATCCTATGTTTCGAAGTACGGAACTAACCTTGTGTTGTTGGTCAGAAGTACAACATCTGTTGTAGCTTCTGACACTTGCCTCGTTCCTGTGCCCTGACATAAACATGATGTGGCGTAATTCAACGGAGGCGTCGCTCAACGCTTGAATAGCAGTAGCCCTGACACTGTGGGGTGTATAGATGCGGCTCAACCCTTCTTTGGAAGTTGTACGGATTATGTTCCCGTATTGGCGTTGAGACAGCGGTTTAGAAGAGAACCACACATTATCACTAATAACTGCATTTGATTTTGGAATAGAGAACAGACTGACTGCATCAGGTAGGGATTTCTCAATGAGCAATTTTAGAGACTTTACGGGACAATTATGTGTGCCTGTCGCATACATGCGTTTGTCAGCCGCATGGCTTTCGCCATCATCAATACCCCCTTGGTTAGTTTTTCCTGCTACGTCATGGGTAAGAGTTGCAAATTCTCTGCCTTTATCGTCAACTTTAAACGTGAACGAACTTCTGGACAACTGAGAGTGAAACTCAAGGCCTCTTGTGACGTAATGAATGGCTACGTCAAACCAAACTTTCTGCAAAACACGTGTTGGGGTATCGTGATTAAGATATTCTCTAATTCTAACGATATCTCCCTTGTCAATGATCGGCTTGTGCTTCGTTGGTTTGGACAAGCCAGCTCTGACATTTTGTTTCAGTTGACCATTCAACAAATCATTAGCCTTGTGGAATGCCTTATCTTTCACAATATCAATATCTCTCCAGATAACCCTGAGATGCCTGTTGAGTGCAGACCGAATGTTCCGTGTTTTTGTGACAAGTAGAGATTGCTGCAGAGCATCAATAGCTCCCCGCCATATAATGTTATGTGCAGAGGAAGGAAGTGTAAGCTATGGGAGGAGAGAATTTGTGTTAAGTACAAATTGGTTGTTATTAATGTACTTATCTTTGGAAAGCACAATAAAAGAAACAGTGTCTTTAATTGGTCAGCACAAAGAAAAGCCAGGCAAGAAAACTGGGCCTGTCAGGCAAAACTTGATGTATTACATATTGTAAAAACAAAGGCCATAGGTCACTTTTCTCAAAACTTCGTTTAAGTAATCACAAACTAAAAATTGAAAAAATTGTAGATATACAAAAACACCAACCCCATTTGAACAACGTCTCTGTGAAACATGTGATGTCTCAGAAGATGAACAACATTACGCACTGTCTTACATAATACAACCAAGAAAGAGATTCACAAATAATCCCCAATCATGATAAAGAATTTGGTACACTCTGTTAAAAGGAGCAGATTCTTAATAAGTTTACCAACAGTTATCCAGAAACAACTTCCAAGATCTGTTAACATATCAACAATTACAAACAAATTCCTTGTACATGTATGTACTACATTCCAGAGTTTTGCTCAATTCTCATATTGTTTCCATATCATTATAAAACACTTGTTTTAGAAATTAAATTCTACCTCTTTTGAATGTTGAATGTTCCTGTGTTTTTTAATTGTCGTTTATTGTGCATATTTTTTGTAGTTTGTGATTGTGCAATATTGCCACTATTTCTTCATGGAATGTTCCGCAATACATATCTCATCTAAAACATCTTTGTTGTATAATAGTTTCTTACAGTTGTTTACGGGGGCATGGTTGGCCCAGTCGCCGAAGGCGCTGCAATTCGCTATGCAGAGTTGTGTCCCTTGGGCACGCCGGAAACCTATGACAGTGTGTTTGAATCTCGGTTCGCCCCGATTTTGTTGTCAGCACAAAACCCTTGCTCGTTGGTTTCACCAAAGTGGTGAACGTCTAAGACCTGCATCACTTCAGACTTTCGTCCCACTTCAAGCTGACACGGAATTCTATAATTCAAGATGGCGTTAAACCCAACTACCTCATTCACTCTTGTGTATGGTTCCGTTTGGTTAACTGGGTTTGTGTTGTGATTGCTTCCGGCTTAGATTTGAAATTTGTTTAGAAGAATGTTACTATGTTCAACCCAAACATCGTGAAGATATCATGCAACCGTATTATCTTTTTGGAAAATAATTGCAAACTACAGACCAACCTGTTGATTTCCTATGTATCCAGAAGCAAAGAACATATACGGGTGTATGATCTCTGCTGGAAGTTAGTTTTTTTTGTCAAAGCAATAAACCATGCAGAAACGTAAACCGCCGCATGAAACGGCATGTACCATACATTACATACATTGAAGTATTTAAAACAATGCTGTGCTCAACTATGCACAGCAAGCGCCATACATGTGATTGTGAAGACAACTAATAAAAAATTTCTCATATCAAACCCGTTGTTTTACATGTGTTGTTTATTGAAAAAAGTCATAGTTTATAGAAGCCTGTTATTTAATTGTGTTGGACAATATGTTGCAATAGCAGTGTGAAAATTGAGTGCGCGTGACAGGCTTGGCCTAAATTCTTTCCTGGAACGTTTCTCGATGGCTGCCTGAATAACATACGATACATTGCAAAGGTAGTGCGCAATTGAACTGTTCGGGTAAGGGAGATAATCACTCACTCTCAGTGATACAGCTTGAATAAGATACGATGTACAGCAATGCAAGGTCAGTGCGTGAATTTTTTTATCACTTCTATACTACGCCTATAGCTAAAGAAGATAATCGCTCAATGCGCAATAGTTTATTCTTACAAAATATAGACCGGTTAACTTTAGCGAAATGGGATTATTTTTAGCTCTTTTAAAAACAAAATGAACAAATTTCATGGGTTATCAGCATTACGAAAAGTGACTTAGTCTCAGAATAGCAAGACGATATTGAAGTATCTCTTATTGCTGGAAAAGATAAACATCAACATTTCACGCACATTTCACATGATTTGTATGTATCGTTTCGGTAACTGTGTGGCTTGAAATTTCAAAGAAACCAACATGTCGACTTACATGCTCCAAAATTAACCTCTCCCGTATACTTCCCCGCCTTAAGGGCGGGGAAGAATAAACATCATCGGACTGAGACTTTGTTCTCGGTCTAGTCTCAGCATAAAAGGATCGCAAACTTGTGGCAAGCTCTTCTGGAGATATGTTAACCCAATCTGTTTGGATTTTACGTGTTTGAAAGGACCAGTCTGAAATGAAAGGTATGTAAATTTGATTGATGTGGATATGTGGCCATTACATCTTTTTAATCTGATTAATCTAATTATGCATATATATATTTTTATGAATGTTATAGAATTGTACTTTTGTAGGTTGGACCTGAATCACTGTTTATCGGGCGTACGTAACATGTGTAGAATGTTTTATCGACGAGTGTGAACATTATTGAGCGAATCCATAACAATATTTACAGTAATTGGAATAATTTAAGTGCAATAAAAGAGGCTCACCGCTGAACATCTTAAGAGCCCATTTTGTGATTTTTATTGCTGATGCTGAATGCCTTTGTGCCTCAATGTCATCCAGTGTTTCTTCATTTATTTTGGGGAATCTCCCGTCACTCTCAGTGGGCGTGTCATCCGCGGGTTCGTCTTTAACTTGCGTAACAGGAACTTCACATGCGGTTGTCTCATTTTCTTGACCCAGTGACAATAATATGGCATCGAGATCGTCACTATCGATCCAGTGTACATCGAATGAACCGTAATCAAACTTTGATACCTGTTCATCGTCCATTTTTCAGTGATGACATCTAGCAGACGATAACACAAAACAAAACAAATTTATCAATGTACTATTTTTTGTATTTCAAACACGGCAGAACACTTTTCTAACCGATGGTTTACCAAAACAGTTGTGTAATTAAATAACACAGTATAATGTTATTTTTGTCACATGACTTAAGCAAGATATAAATAGAATCCACGGAAGGCAAAGGAATTCCCATGAAGGGTTTTCCCAGGAATGTATTGGAAAGTATTTTGGGCATGGAGTGACACCTCGCGCTGAACGTATGAACGTCAAATTGTGTCGTTCATACGCTTATGAACGTCAATTTCGCGGTCATGTGACCGACCTCTCGTCCAATGGAAAAGCCGTATATCGTGTAAACTTCAAATTAAAAAATTATTCATTGATGGTTGTGAGTGGCAGCAAG